GGGCGGGGAGGGGCGGGTCCACGCGCAGCTTGGGGCAGCCGTCTGGGTTGTACAGCATGGGGTACCCCCTGCGCAGGACCACGTCGACGCTCTGGCCCACCGGCACCGACTTCAGCATCTCCACCGCCTCCTTGTGGGACAGCCCCAGGACGCAGGCGTCGTTGATGAACACCAGGATGTCGGCTACGGACAGAGAGAGGGAGTCAGCAGCGGGAAAGGGGAAAGAGCAGAGGGAGGAAGAGGGGATCGTGGGAAAGGCAGACAGAGAGAGTGGAGGGAGAGAAGGAGAGAGGCAGAGAGACACATTAAGCTGATTGCCATCAATACGGCCGCTTACAGAAGTACAGGACCGCCGATACTTACAGCCCTGCTGCTACAGCCATGGCCATCCATCAGGCCACTGGGACTGCAGCTATTATTCCGAACGACCTGACTGGGGGAGGCGGGGACACGCGCCGTCCCGCTGGAAAGGATTCTGACATTCATGACGTCGGCGGCCATCTTCAAAACCAGGACCCCAGCTCACGGGAGCACAGGAAAGGTCAGGGAGAGGTCAGATGCTGAAAAAAGTTGGGGGGGCCCAGCTGGGCGGGGAGGGGCGGGTCCACGCGCAGGTAGCCCATGCTGTACAAGCCGGTACAACCCAGAGCACGAGCCCTCAGGCTCGCGGGGGGGGGCGCGTGCCACCGATACCCAGATTACACCGCAAAGCCGCCAGGATCAGAGGGATTGGGAGATCCGCTTAATGGGGGATGGAGGCGGATTACTCCCGCCGGCTCCGCGGCCTCCGTGGGAGCGCGCAGGGGGAGAGGGCAGACGGAGCGAGCGAGACAGAGGGAGCGGGAGAGGAGGCCGGGGCAGACAGTCGCACCCCAGTACCCCGTGGCGCAGGAAGAGCCGAGTCCAGCTCATTGAAGCACAGAGAGGAAACGGCCAGCAGCCGTGTCCCCCTGCAGCTCCCAGCTGGCAGCCCACTGGAGCTCAGCAGGTGGGAGCCTGGCCAGTACCTGGAGGGGAGACCTCCTGGGAAAGACTAAGGCTGCTGGGGGGGCCAACAGGGAGCGCTCACCCTGCGGTCTGTGTGGGTCCTAATGGCCCAGTATAGTGACGGGGACACTACAATGTAAAAAGCCGCCCTCCTTCTGATGAGACGTAAAACTGAGGTCCTGACTCTCTGTGGTCATTAAAAATCCCAGGATGTTTCTCAAAAAGAGTAGGACCCCAATCAAAAAGAGTAGGACCTAGGGGTAACACCCTAGTGTCCTGGCCAAATTCCCCCCCTGGCCTTTACCAATCATGGCCTCATAATACCCCCCCTCTCTGAACTGGCTTCATCACTCTGCTCTCCTCTCCACTGAGAGCTGCTGTGTGGGGAGAGGACTAGTGCATCATCCAGGTGGGGCTGCACACTGGTGGGGGTGGAGGGGATCCCCATTTCCTGTACAGCACTTTGATCAGAGTGTCCAGAAATGCAATATATAAGTATTAGCAATTGTTATTATAATTATTATAACAGCATCTGGAAATGGCATGTGGAAAACCGCCAACTGCTGAAAACTACAGCAGAAGCACAGAAACACCCTGGCAAAGCTACACAAACACTCTGCCAGTGCAGTGTGCTCTCCTGCACAGTGGTGAGAGGTCTTGGGTTCGAATCCCAGGTGGGGCACAGCTGCTGGACTCTCAAGACCGTCCCAGGGAAGGGAAGGGCCCAACTGAGCCAGCGGGTCTCCAGGGCGTGCCTGCAGATCAGCGGCTGCTCTGCTTTGGCCCACCTGGGCAAATACAGGGTCAGGTGACTGGATTACTGAACAGCCCCCGGCGTCAGCTGCTCAGAGAGGGGCAGAGAAAAGCTCTCTCTGCATCGAAGAAACATCTTCCTCTCAGAACAGCCCTATGAAAGTCAGCCCCTCTCATCACAAAACTCCACACCGGTTTTCGGAGACTGCTTCACTGCAGGGTCACCTGAGTGTGGGAGGCTTGCGCCCCCTGGTGGTGATGGTAGACAGAGCGCTGGAGACTTTTGATGTGCATTAAAAAAAACTTTCAGAAAAGTTTTTGATGTATTCTGTTTTAACCCTT